GCACCCCAAATGGTAGCTTTTATCAATGATCAGTTCTCACAGAGCTTCTCCCAACACATCCAGTATTGTGCCAGGGCCTCTGAGGTCCAAACAATTCCCTCCTCTCTAGGGTTGATCATTTTGCTGGGAAAGTCAGGTGTATATACACAAGCCAGGGGACAAGGTGGCTTTCTATGAGTGAGACCTTCTAGTAAGTGCCATACACTTACAAATGGCTTGAATGTTGGCAAAGGAAAAAAATGCTGACTGGTTCTACACTCACTTCTAACCACAGTGACTACAGACCTCAATGAGGCTGGTGGATGAGGGTGGCCAGCTTACCAAGAAGAGACAAAGGGAAAACCTCCCTACACAGAGGCACAAGTTATCTTGAAGTTCCTAGAAGGGAAGAAAATCCAAAGAGAGGGTGAGTGTTTTATAATCTTAAACTGGCGATGGAAAACTGGCAATAGGAGCACAGGCTGGAGGGGTGACCGACCTCAGGGGCTGGAAGCACAAGACAGGTGATCTAAAAAGAATTATGTACCTTTTGGTCTCATCTTGCGCAAAGCCCTAAACTTCACCTCTCAGCTCACTGCATCCTTGCTAGTAAGTTAGAGCAAATATTTGCCCCCTTCCTTAGGGAAGAAATGGAATTATAATGGTGCTGATTAACTTGGCCCCGTTTGGGGAAGAATCAGTCTGAACCACATGAAGCAGAGCCACGGCCCTGGGGACACCTCCAGGTTCTACCCTGCTCCGAGGCAAGGCTGGGGCTCCTGTGATGTCTTCCTGCCTTCTTGCTTTCCCTCTGTTTCTCTCTCCCTTCGTGTTCTCCTCCTCCTCCCTGTTCTTCTTCCTCACCTGTATATACTTTGATTTCAATGCACATTATCAGCCTCCCCCTGCCCAACAAACAGAGTAGCACCTGTTCTATGCTCGGCTTTTTTCCCCCCTCGGATAACAGTAAATCTTGGGGCACCTGGGTGGCTCAGTGGTTGAGCGTCTGCCTTCAGCTCAGGGCCTGATCCCAGAGTCCTGGGGTCCAGTCCCACATCAGGCTCCCTGCAGGGAGTCTGCTTCTCTCTCTGCCTCTTTCTGTGTCTCTCATGAATAAATAAAAATCTTAAAAAAACAAAAACAGTAAATCTTGTGAACTTCCCAGATGTGCCCTGATCAGCTGCCTCCCTCTTTCCACCAGCTGTGTGGTCCTCCACTGTGGGCTGTGCCAGGATTTACCTGGAGCCCTGGTTTCAATGGTGCTCCCAGTCTGTCAAGAGCAAAAAGCACTTCTGAACTCAGTTCCCTGGCAACAGGTGGGCTTCCTGGGGCCTGCTGTGGGCCAGGCGGGAAGAGACTGGAGCCCCCTCCCTCGGGAGCTCAGAGCCTGGCGGCCGAGGCAGGCAAGGAGGAGAGACAGGGGTTACAGATACCCAGTGGGGTCCACAGGGCAGCAGCGCCCTTCCTGGGGCTCTTGCTGCTCTGGGCTCAGACTCCTCTGCCAAGGGAGAAGGTGAGAAACCAGCCCCCCTCCAGAAGGTGGCCCCCAGCTCAGGGTGTTTACCGCCTGAGGAGGGAATTCCGTAGGAAGGAAGGAAGGAAAGATCAAACATCCCAGTTCAAAGATATGACAGCGCACAGGGTTGTCACAACGGGGGAGGGCTTGTTTATCAAACGCAGGAGGCTGCTAAGGGCTGGGAAAGGAGGGGCCAGGAAAGGTGACCAAAGCACCTTCCTCAAGGCTGAGCGTGAGCCAACGTCCCAGGCCCGGCCCTCCCGGGTCACCCTGCTGGCGCTCCGGATGGGGCTGCCCGGCCGAGGCCCTTCCCTGTTTCTTCGGGATCCGGGAGGGCCTGCCGCTGGGGACCGGCCCGGCCCTCTTGGGGGAGATCCCGCAGATCCCGCCCCGGGGCTCTGAACTCTGCACGTGGCTGGACACAGCAGAGGGGCCAACACTATGTCACCTCCCGGCAAGTCACGGGCTGCGGCGCTGCGGAAGGGATGGGGCAGGCTGAACTGCGAGGGCCCGAATGCTGAGCGGAGGCCCAGAGGCGTGGGCCTCGTTTTCCATTACTGTGTTAAACAGAACAGAGGCCCGATGGACAGACGGCCCCAGGCCTGCAGGAGGGGAGGCTTGGCCTTAGCGGGGTGTTCCTGGTCTGGCTCCGCAGGGGAAGGGCTCGCGGGGCCTCGAGGCGCCCAGAGAGGTGCTCCCGGTGGCGGCGCCGCGTGCGTGGGGACAGCGGGCTGCGTCCGCCCTGCAGCAGCCGGAGCCCGGGAGGAATCGCTGCGGAGCGGCCCGGGCTCCGGGCTCGGGCACTGGGGCGGCGCCGTCGTGCCCCCTCCACGCCGACCAGGCGCCAGCCTCACAGGGCCTCCTCCAGGCTCTGACCTCCGCCTCCCTCCTGGCCTCGTTCCTTATGTTCCAAGGGCCCTGCCTGCGTCCAGCGCCCCCCAGCTGCCCTGGGGTATCCCCGGCCTGGGTCGGGCGAGCCCGGGGAGCCTTCCCCGGAACACGGCATCCACGTCAGCTCTGCCCTGCTGCGTGGCTCTGACGGGAGAGCCTCTGCGCTCCTGTGCCCGTGCGAGCAGGTGCCCAGGCCTGAAGGCGCTGGGATGGGGACGGGCAGCCGGGCAGGGCGCAGGGCTGCGGGAGCCCACCCTCAGGGGGAAGGAGGGTGGGTCTTTAGCAGGGAGAGAGCCAGCTGCTGGAGATACCTGGGCAGCTGAGGCAAAGAGTCAGCAGCAGGTGGGGAAGGGGTCACCCTAGGGAGGAGAGACGGGCTGGATTCAGGGGCGGCTGAAGCTAAGTAAGCAGTGTTTGTAGGGTGGCACCCACAGGGACAAGTGGAAGAGCAAGCCCATGTTTAGAGAGAGGATGGGCTGTGTGGGACAGTTCTGTGTGGGCTCCACCAGGGAGGCAGTAAGGAACGAGAGAAGGTAAGTCTGGGTAAAGTCTAACATCGTTTTCAGGTAGCGTCCCCTTAGCCAGGGAGCAAGAGGACAGAAGACTGGCCTGGGTGGTCCAAGGCTGAAGGAGGAGGATGGGGAAGGACAGGTGCACAGCTGGGCCATGCAACTGTCAGCCTCTTCGCACCCCCCAGCTGGGTGGTGCCCACCATTCACAGAATCCCTATTTTACACATAAGGGACCCAAAGGGCAGACAGGTTGACGTAAAGGAACTCACCTTGTGTGGGAGCAAACTCACATAGACAGTAAGGGCTCAGAGCCGAGATTTAACCCAGGCCCGGGGCTTCCCACTCTCCAGGCCAGCACCGCACCAAAGAAGGCACCACCCAGAGCGGCCTGGGCTGGCTGGCCAGAAATCCGTACTAGGATCTAGGAAGAAGGCCAGGAGTGGAGCGGTTGGTGGGGCCGTGGAGCGGTGTTACAAGCCACGTTGGAATCAAGGTGGAGGACAGACTCGGTGGAGCCTAAAGTCACCCCCAGTGCTGCCACAGCCTGTGGCCCCCTCGCACTCTCCTCCCCGGTTCTGCCCTGCTCCCTCCTTGGAACGGCACCCTGTGTTTGCTTAGCCCCTTATCCATACTGCGCTTACACACGAGTTTAGGAAGGCCAAGGAGAACCCGGGGGGGCAGCAACTTGTTCACCTGAAAGGGGGAGGTGCCCACGCGGGCCCCTGCCGCCCGGGGATCTGGCCCGAGATGAAGTTCCCAAGCTTGCCCAGGAATCACCAGCCTGGCTCCGCAGCCCTTCTCGCCAGCGGCTCACCAGAGCGGCCCGGCTGCCTTGTAATTGCCACCCTGATGTCTAGGTGGCGCCAAAGCCTCACACTGACGGCTCCCAGGTTGGGGAACCCACCTGCTCCCGGCAGACACCAGCTCAGCCCAGCTGAGTGCATGCTCAGCTTCGTGGGTTCCATACCTCCAAGTGCACAGGGGCTGCAAGCTTGTAATTCCTTTCTTCCTTCAGCTTTGCTCCAGCCCTGGCCTCCTTTGGGAGGAGCGCGAGGCGCTGGTCCCAGCCCTCTTATCTCTGCCTCAGGGACATCCCAAAGCAAGGACTCCATCTGTTCTTTTCAAAATGTAACAAAACAAAACAAAACTGCAATAATCTACCGACAAATAACATGAAATTCATTTTTAAACTTAAGTTTAAAAAAATTTTTTTTAAATCTAAGCAGTATTTTCACATTGGTTCAAAACAATAAGCTCCTGTTGAACCTCCTCAGATAATGAAGATATCGTAGCACCTTATCGACTCCAGCAACGACCACAGGCATGTCCGCTTGGGCAGATCACTAGCCAGACACTGTTCTGATACAGCTTTGAAGTGTGGCTAGTTGGCAGGAGAACGAATGCCTCATTCCTTCTGTCTGCAAGTATTTGGTGTGAGCCACTAAGCTGGGCACTGCTGGAGGCCTTGGGGATGGCCAGGTCCCTTCTGGCCCAGCGCACGTCCCCGGGCTGGGGACGGGGGTGTGGGGGGGGGGGCAGATGAGCTCAAGGACTGCCAGGCGCTAGGTCCTGGGGAGAGAAATAGATCAGGACTCCGGGGTGGGGGGCGGGGGGAGGTGATGGGGTGTCAGTGGTCCAGAAAGATCGCTCTGAAGGAGTGATTTTTAGCAGAATCCCAAACATAATTTTGGGGGCAACTGGTGCGGGCGGAACTAGACCTGCGGGCTGTGGGGCGGCCCCTCTCCCGCAAGGTGAGAGCAAGGAAGTTGGGATCCTTGGCTCGGCTCGGCCTCCGCCAGGGCCCCCGCTGGCCCCGGGCTCCCCCGTTCCCAGCGCGCTCTAGGGAGGGGGGGGCTCCTCACGTCCCCCGGGGCCCCGGCTCCCCCCGGGGCCCCCTGCAAGGCGCGGCCCCTCCCCCACCCGGGAGAGCGCCCCGGGCGCCCCCACCCCACCCCGGGGGAACGCCGAGCCGCGGCCACGCGGAAATGTAAAGTTTCTGCGGCTCAAAGTGACGCAAAAATTCTTAAAGAGCTCTTTGGCGGCGGCTATCTAGAGATCAGACCATGTGAGGGAAGGAGAGTACAAATACGGCCGCTCGGGCGCCAGCTCCGCACAGGCAGCCGCGCCCCCGGGCCTCGAGGGCGCGAGGGTCGCCCCACCTCGGAGCGCCGCGGACCAGCCTCCGCACGGACTCCCGGCAGGTGGGTGGGCGGCCGCGGGGGCTCGGGGCGAGCGCGGGGCGTGCTCCGAGGCGCTCCGTCCCCGGCCGGAGACGCGTGGGGGCCCGGCGGGCTCCCGATGGCCCCGGACGGGGGGGCTCCTTCGCCTCCCGAGGGTGGGGGGCTTCCTCCGAGGCCGGTACCGGAGCAAGACCCTGCGAGGCGGCCGCACGCCGAGCGCTGCCCGGCGCGGGGGGAAAGTTGCTGCAGCTGAAGTCGCGGCTTCTGCGCGCCCCTGGGTCAGCGCGCGGCGCGCAGGCGGCCCGGCCGAGGCGTTTCTGCAGGGAGGGTCTGGTTGACATCAATGCCCGGTATCTAGAGAAGTCTCTGAACGACTCTTAAGTGGGACGGTGGTTTCCGCCGGCAGAGCCCAGGCACCCCTCAAACGCCTCCCGGGCCATTCAGAATTTATGGGAAACTCAGACTCCAGCCGTTGAAGTGTGTTAAGGAAAATGTTTAGTGTTGCTAAAGAAGAATGTGTGCATTTAAATATGTCTTGGAAAACACTCTGTGGAGCTAAAGAACGCAAAGGAGCACGTTTCCTTTTGCACTGGGGCTTTTTGCATAAAGAATTTTCTTTTTCAGTTGGGGTTCTGAAGAACTTGAGAGGGGTGGAATTTCTAAGAGGCAGACATTACGAACGCTTGTGTGTGCGTGTGTGTGTGTATTTTTATGATCTATTTTGTCCAGAAAAATGAACCAGGTCAATGGATTATTTATGAGCCTGCTAGCTCTCATCATGGTAAGACTAGATCAAATATTTAATGTGTTTTGCTTTCAGTTACACAGGGAAAATGTCTAAGAAAACAACACTGGGATTTATGTTTAAATGAGACGGAGGGGCAGTATGAGCGGCATTAGTGTTTGGGTTTTCAGCAGTGGAGGGAAGCACACAGCTTTGACTCTGCCCTGCTCCTTGCTTTTGTGTGGAGCCACTGATGCCAGTGGTGGTTTTCGTACCACAGACTGGGATGCATGCAGGTGGCTGCTCCCAGCACCAATGAGAGTCAGGTCCTAGGGGGGCTGGTGCAAACTAAGCAAGCCATTTTGTGCATGGGTTTTCCTTTTTTTCTTTTTTCTTTTCCCTGAACCTGAATAAAAACAGATTGAGACTGCTTCACAATTAGTCAAAAGTCCGCTCAGCACTCTGGTGATCTACGTGGGACATTCCAGGAATGTAGTAGCAGCACAGATAGACACTCAACCCATTTCTTTCAGTTTCTTGCTTAAGAAACATATACTAAGGGGGTGAAGTGGTGACGGTGGGGGCAGAATGATGTTGAAGTTTTAATGGAATTAGCAGAACCTCAGAAATTCCTCGTTGGGGAATTTTTAGAGCTATCTGAACATTTTGATGCGACTCAGAGAGGCATGTCAAAGAGTTTCACGAATGGGCCATGTGGTGGTGGAATGGAGGTGCTTGGCTGGAGGTGGTTGTCTCTGAGGGCAGGCTTACAGGAACATCCCCAGTGTCCCCTTCTGAAGAGAGACCCAGGTGATTCCAGAAATTAAGCCAGTAAGTGACAATTCCTTCTCCTTTGTAGTCATCAAATGGTTTTATCTGAGAGAACAAAGGAAGGGCTGCTTGAAGAAGTTTAATTTGATTTAATGAATCAACAGGATATGGTCATGATGTGACTTTTTGAAGAGAGATGCCCATGTGACCAAAGGGAAAATTATGCAGTCATTTCTCTATCACAAGGTACCTCACACCTTAGTTGTTCCCATCACAAATCAGCTCCTCTGGGTGTCACAGTCCTAAGCTCTAAGTGAGGGGCAGGAGGCAGCCCTGCATGACATGATGTCTGAGTCCCCTCCAATTCATCCTAATCTCTCTACTTTAAGCAAACGCCACTTGAAATGATGGTGCAAAATGCCTGAGTGCCGGGACTCTGCCCAGATGCTGCTGTCAAGTCAGGGTCCTCTGGGGCCCCGGGCTTTCATTCTATGGCAGCGGTTTGCACAAGTCAAGTCCTGCACCTCAGCACCAACAGGTAACAGGAGCCTGAGTTTGCCCACTCCCCACATCCCTTTTGCAACATGCTCAGGGTGTGGTGCAGTGGAATCAGCCTCCAGGCAGTGAGATTTGGGCTGTGCCGATTTTCTTTCCAGCCACCGAGCTGTTGCCAATTGGCTGTAGTCCTCCGAGGTTTGTTCTACGTAGCAGTAACAGGCTTGGGTGTGGAGCCAACGATCTGATAAATCACCCCACTTCTCCATTTCTGGGGCAAGTGAGACTTACCCTGCTCCTGTGGGGAATTAGTTTCTGGGCTCACTCTCACAGTACCCGAAGGAAAGAAAACTCATCTTTCTAGGAGGGATCCAGGTGGGAAATAGATGAAACTGGCCCATAGAAGAAACCTGGCATGGGCAGCCCTGGTGGCGCAGCGGTTTAGCGCCACCTGCAGCCAAGGGCGTGATCCTGGAGACCCTGGATCGAGTCCCACGTCAGGCTCTCTGCATGGAGCCTGCTTCTCCCTCTGCCTGTGTCTCTGCCCCTCTCTCTCTGCATCTCTATGAATAAATGAATAAAATCTTAAAAAAAAAAGAAACCTGGCATAAGTGATTTTCCCTGAGCAGAGGGTGAGCAGCTTTTCTTGGGTGGGCACAAGACCCACCACAGGCTGACACAGCCCTTTTATTTCTAGGCAGAGCTCATCTTACTGACTTGGCTCCATTTTCTGAAATGATCTCTGGGTAACGTCTCTATGCAGGGGCATTCCCTCAGCTTGACCTAGGCTGGCTGTCAATGAGTGGGAAGATCAAGGGATGTTGCTAACACACTTTTAAACCAAGTGAGTGTTCTCCTAGCCCTGTGTCTATGTGGTGACAAAATGAGTAGAGAGGAGGTCAGTGTGAGGCAATTCGCCTTATTTTTTCCTTTCTTTTGGCTCCCCTGCAACCTGGCAGCAGCTCCCTTGCTGCCACCCATCCTTGGATCAACAGTCCTTGTTAGTGGGTATTTAAGCCATAGGCTTTCTTATTTTTAATCAGTTAATTTTATTTTATTTTTAAGATTCTATTTTTAAGTAATCCCTACACCCAATGTGGGGCTCAAACTCACAACCCTGGGATCAAGAGTCACATGTTCCACTGACTGAGCCAGTCAGGTGCCCCTAAGCCATAGGCTTTTTTTTTTTAATATTTTATTTATTCATGAATGACAGAGAGAGAGAGGCAGAGACACAGGCAGAGGGAGAAGCAGGCTCCCTGCGGGGAGCCCGACGTGGGACTCGATCCCGGGCCTCCAGGATCACAACCTGGGCCGAAGACAGATGCTCAACTGTTGAGCTACTCAGGTGTCCCAGCAGTGGACTTTTTAAAAGCCAGGACTGGATATCCTTTCATGAATCCCAGACCCCGCACCCCCAGCCCCTGGACTGCAGGGCAGGAGATGAAGCCCAGCAATGTGGAGACGTGGAGGTAACATCCCAGGGCCAGCCTGTGGCCAGGGTCTCCAGGCGCTGACCAGGCCAGACGGCAGATCTAAGAGCCCTTCGTGTACTCTGGGAGAATCCAGAGCTGGAGGCTGGCAGAGAGGCTTGCTTGGAGGGAGTGAGCTGGCGGGCTTTGCCTTCTTGTTTTTGTGTGATTTTTCTGGGCACAAAGAACATTTAATTTCCATTATTACTGACCTACTGAATGAAAATAAAATAAACACCATTTTTTCCTCTACCTGAAGGACTCCCTCAAATTTAGGGGGGAGCAGAGCTGGAAGGGCTCCAGGTGCCCTGTGGCTTATTCGAGCTCACCCATGGCTGCAAGGACTGGAACCCGAATCTCCTGTGCCTCTGTTCTTGCCTCTCCCCTGAGTGTGTTGTTTTTAAAAACTAATCAAGCTAGAGGGGGGCACTTGACGGGATGAGCACTGGGTGTTATTCTGTATGTTGGCAAATTGAACACCAATAAAAATAAATTTATTATTTAAAAAAAAAACTAATCAAGATAACTGGCTCTTTTCCTTGTTTCAGAGGAAGGGAGCTGAGCTGCAGGAAAGGGGAGGGGAGGCCCTGCCTGGGGAGAGGAGAGAAGAGATATGCTATTCTGGGTATGTCTCAGCCGCAGGGAGGCCCGGCTGACCGGAGGGTTCCCGGGTTCCCAGCGCTCACTCCGAAGACTAGAGTGATTTTCCTCCCCCGGGTTCTTTAAAAAATATTTTATTGATTGATTGATTGATTTGAGAGAGCGCACAAGTGGGAGAGGAACAGAGGGAGAGGGAGAAGCCGACTCCCCGCTGAGCAGGGAGCCTGACCTGGGACTTGAACCCAGGACCCTGGGATCAGGACCTGAGCTGAAGGCAGCCGCTCAACTGACTGAACCACCCAGGCGCCCTGTGCCCCCAGTTTTTTATTTTAAAGAATTTCAACTAAAACATCAGAGAAATGTTCCAGTGAACCTTCCCTCAGAGCCACTAGTCATTAACATTTTGTCACATGTGTGTACACTCTAACTTTTGCATCTGTAACATACATAGTTTGATACACTTTTATGTAATATGTGACATAATTCGTGTAACAATTATACAAACTATATATTATATAATTTTTCTGTCAAACCTCTGAGAATTTGCAGACATCTAAATACTTCACCTCTTGTCTCCTAAGAATAAAGACATTCCCCTACATAAGCAGAGCCCTACTATGGTCACATTTGGGAAACAATTTGATAAAATATTATCAAATGTGCAACTATTACAGTCCTTATTTAAGTTTTCCCTACCATCTCACTGGTGTCCTTTGCAGCATGGAGGGTTACTTCTTGAGACTCCAGACTCCCAGTCCCCAGGAGATTGGAAACCACCTCTTGCTCTGACCTCTGTGCATCTGAGGCCTAGCTCTATACTATGTAATGATGAACTGATTTTTATTTTTATTTATTTTTTAAAAGATTTCATTTATTTATTCACGAGAGACACAGAGAGTGAGAGGAAGAGGGAGAAGCAGGCTCCATGCAGGGAACCCAATGTGGGACTCAATCCTGGG